AAATCATGAAGAATCTAGACTGTTCTAGAAGCTTCGACGCAATACATATAATTCACGGACATCAATACTTAAATTATAAATTTTAATACAATTTTATTACACATAATGATACCTTTGTTATTGAATTTTGAATCTTAATGTTTTGTAATAAGACAAGTTTGATTTAAATAAGTAGATAATGTGTTATATGATACAAACGTGCTTTATCTATGTTTTTGTAGAATCAATATTATATTACAAAATAGTGCAATGAATGCGGAAAAAAATTGTTTTACACTTTGAACTTTATTACGGTCATCTGTACTCGAGTTTTGGAAATGGGAAGTTTTTGCAGCTTATTCTCTCATGTGGCTATACATGCCACTGCAGGTCACGGGTCACCTTTAGAACACTGTTAAATACCATGATCGTTTCGTTTAGTATTTTATTTTATACAAATTAATCATGCATTTAGTCCCTTAGAATAATAACGCATAGAATGATAGTTTCATATCAAACAAACTGTCACAAGTGAGGCAAAAATCAAATTCATGTAGGCTAGTTTTAGTAGTAGGTTAATTTTCGGTTTTAGTGAATATTTATATAAAAATACAAGTTGAAACGCGTTACTTCCTTGTGGAATGTGATGTTAGTATCTATTTTATGTTTGTCTGACGTATTTTTACACTCATTTACCGCACATTTCGTCATTTTTAGCTAAAATTCATGATCTGTTCGCGGTGCAAATTGACCTTGAGCACTGAAGGCCCGCCCGCTCTTGTAGGCCCTTTGGGTGCGCTTCAATTTGCCTCACATAGCGTGTGCGGACTAGGTTTCTATGCGTTATTATTCTAAGTTTAGTCCTTTTTGTTACTTCTGACTGAAAACCAGTGCCCTAGGCAACTGCCATGCTCTGAGTCAACCTCCTTTCATGCGTCAACCCATTTATAAGTCCCACAGCTTGCCACGGTTCTCAGGCGACGGTTTAGGCCACACTGGCCCAATGCAGATTGGAGATTTCACCTGTGAACCTTCACCGAAATACTCGTGGTAAATTTGAAATAAAATTTCCAATATGAATTCCGAGAAACTCAGAGATACGAACCCGGATTTATAGTAGTAAAGCAGAGTTTATAACCAGAAATAGAGACGAATGTCAGTTAATTTGTTTCAAAACTATTCTGCCATATCATTACGATGACAACTGCGCTTAGATTGACCAGCCCGAATTCGAAACAATTGACGGGTGTCGTCAATTGTTTCACTGCAAATCGACCAGTTAACTTGAGCTTTGCTATAATGGACGAAAATTGCAAAATTACATATTTAATATTTCATTACCGATGAACTGCAATTCCGCTTGTTGTGTAATTAGATGTTTTGCTGTTTCCCACACCACCGAATAGTACCGCAAGCCATTGTTAGAGATATTATTTATTACAATAAATACAGAATATTTTTTGGAATATACAGAGACGTATACACAGGTCAGTTATTGGCGCTATCTATATTTCAGTGCAAACGAGATTTGATATTAATAAGCGATGTATAACTGATGAGTTACCAGGAATGATGAATACCATGGCCCTTATGTCGTCTCTATTTCTGGATATATACTCGATGCAGTAGAGCTTCTTGTGAAAGAGTTCGTCCTGGGAAGTACTGACACTTGTTTCTGCCGCCAAGTAGAATAGAATAGAATAGAATAGAATAGACATTTATTGCGACGCCACAACACATGATACAAAAAAAAAATGAATTATAACACAGTACGATGAACATTAAAATTAAAAATAATAACAGTAATAATAATTAATAAACAAAATAGACATACGTAAAACAAACAAATGAAAAAAGAAAGAAGAAAGAAAGAAAGAAAGAAAGAAAATACATTTATTTGTTTACCACAATGACACCACAGAAGACAAAAGACAAAAAAAAGAGAAAACAGAACAAAACAGAACTAAAACAAAACACGATCAAAACATTCAACGTAAAACAAATATATAATTACGAAACAAAAACACAAACAAACACAAAATAAAAATGTATATACAAAAATTAGATAAAATTAAAACATGAACTATTCACACAAATAATAAAAAGAAGACTAAGTATTGAGATACCTTGTGTGGTGCCAGCCGCGGTAACAAAAGGGTCACAAACTCAGTATTTGCTGGAAAACGCAACGCGTTCCCAGCACTGATTTTCAGTTAAGACCCTAAGTGAGGTCACGGAACAACATATGCAAGCATATTTTGGTACTTGAATATAACAGTAAAATAATTATATATACGTACATATTAAAACTCTAACAGATGTGTGTGTGTGTGTGTGTGTGTGTGTGTGGGTGTGTGTGTTGTGTATGTTTAAATACTTCCAAATAATTTATATATAACTATGAAAATACATTATAATAATTAATACGTATACACTATACCTACATCAAGCAACTAATATATTATATAACAAATGTGTATAAAAAGCATAAATAAATAGGTGCTGGAAAAAGTTAATACAATCCCTTTTGATTTTCCAGCAGGAGAGCCTTAAGCTTGCGCTTAAAAGCATTCCTACTAGAAGTGTCATGAAGAGGAGGGGGTAGATCATTCCAGCACTTGGATGACGCAAACCTGAAACTTCCTCTGAAAGCTGCTGTGCGGTGAGCAGGAACGATAGCCCGAACCTTGTATTTAAAACAGTTTTGAGACCAACGAAGTTTGCGATAGAGATACTCAGGTGTCTCGGTTCTCACTACACCGAACAGCAACATAGAGAGGTGTAGCTGCCGACGAGCAGTCATATTTAAAAGGCTTGCAGCATTCAAAAACGGGGTGATATGGGATCTAGGAGGCACCCGAAAGCAAAAGCGTGTGCATGCGTTTTGTACACGTTGTATCAACTTCTTAGACCTACTAAAAATACAATTACTATATACTACATCACAATAGTTTAACCGCGACAATATCAGTGATTCACAAAGGTGTACACGCAAATCAACGCTAAGGTAATCACGAATACCATATAACAATTTGAGTCGATAAAAACAGTTACCGGTCACATTGAGGATGTGCTCCTCAAAACGAAGTTCACTGTCCATCAGTACTCCGAGGTTTCTGACCCTGTCGACCCGTTCCATTGGTTCACCCATAACCGCAATATTTCTGGAAGCAAGGGCTTCCAGTGTATTATGGATTTGACCCTTTGTTCCAAGCACCATGTACTTAGACTTACTCGGATTCAGTACTAGACAGTTCCTATCAGACCACGCCGCTAAACGATCTAGATCAGCATTGATGTCATTGACTGAAGCAATAGTATCAGATGGCTTACCCGATATGTATAGTTGCAAATCGTCCGCATACAGGTGGTAGCTACAGTTTCTTATACTAGTAACGATATCGGCACTGTATAATATAAATAGTAACGGACCTAAAATGGAACCCTGAGGCACACCTCTAGTTACAGGGCGGAGAGAGGAATACTTAGTGGTACCGTTAACCGTATGCAGTTCAACTATTTGAGCCCGACCCGAAAGATAGCTATGAAACCATTCGATGGTTTTAGTGTCAAATCCATAATACGACATCTTGGACAATAGAAGTGGTATGCTCAAACTTTCGAAAGCTCTGGAGAAGTCCAATAACACCAGAAACGTGCTTTTCCCAACATCCTGTGCTGCCAAAATATTGTCGACCACGTCCAGCAGAGCTGTTGCTGTGCCTCGACCTTTTCGAAAACCAGACTGGAATGCTGGAAGGATATTGGTCCTCTCCAGGTATTTCGAAAGCTGTTTACACACAACCCTTTCTATTATCTTGGACATGCACGGAAGAATGCTGATAGGACGGAGCTCGGACAAAGTGGAAGGATTATGCTTCTTTGGCAGAGGGACTACCTTAGCTGTTTTCCAGTCTGTCGGAAAAGTGCTGGTCTCGATGCTCTTATTAACCATGACCGTTAATATCTCAAGTGTTGTCGGAAGAGTCAATAGTAACATGTCAATGGTCATTTGGTCAATACCTTTTGCTTTGGTTTTTATTTGAGTCAATATACTCATCACTTCAGTCGTTGTAGTTGTCGCAGTGCAAAAGGTGTCAGGTCCATGTCGATTGTTTTCGTAATATGTCAGGTCTGATATTGGCACGTCATTGCTACCAGGAACATTTAAAAAATGGTCATTTATAGCATCAGGGTTAGATAAGTGGGCGGGCAAGTCAAAGTCGTGTCTGTTAGGTACAAGAACACGTTTCAAATTTTTCCATAAAGTTTTCGAGTTGGTACCCAAGTTGTTATTGATGAAATGATCAAAGTAAGTGCGTTTCTCACAGAACAAGGCTTCAATGACTACATGTTTAAGCTGTTTATAATATTTTTTATGAGCATCAAGTCCGGTATTCAAATACCGTGCATGCGCTCTATCACGTAGTCGCATCATTAGCCTCACCGTGTCAGTGAGCCATGGTTTCGGCGCCTCTTTGACCACCATGGTCTTGAGTGGGGCATGTTTGTCAAATAGCTGCGTCAAGTAGTCAGTAAATAGTCGAATCATGTCATCCACATTGTCTAAGTACCTAATAGAGTCCCAGTCGATAGATGCCAAGTCATTCTCAAATAATGGGATATCGATACTAGTCAGAGGTCTAAAAGTCAAAACACGAGGTGAGGGCTTGATTTTCCTAATGTCAAGTTGAACAGTAATAAATGCGTGTCGTCCAAGATCAGGTATGTAGTTTACGTGTACGCTATGTATTTTTGTATTACTGCATACTAGGTCGATCGTGGTCTGACTATGGTCAGTATAGTGTGTCGGCTCCTTAACTATTTGTTGTAGTGAAAATAAATTCAAAAATTCGGTTAAACATTTATGATACCTGTCGGTCGTATTCATAAAGTCAATGTTAAAATCACCTAAGATTATTAATCGATCATAGTTTCCAAAAGACGAGACTGTGTCAGTCAGTGTGTCGAAAAACAAGTCGGCATCCAACCACGGCGGACGGTAGGCTGTGCCAATAATTATCCTGGCCCCGCACACAACAGACGAAAGCCACATTTGTTCAACACGGAGTGAGGGAGGGTGAGGCATGGTTCTCGCAGCAATACCTCGGCGAATGTAAAATCCTACGCCGCCTCCGCGCGAGCGCAGCTCAAGTGGCCGCGTCACGTGCCTCAGTCGGTAGCCTGGCACCGCCGGAGCACGACCCGTTTCACCCTCCCGCAACCAAGTCTCGTTTATTGCGACGATATCTGCATCAAAGTTACACATGGAGGCTGTGAATTCATCATGTCCAGTTCCCAAAGAACCAGCATTCCATAGTCCAACTGAAAGCATCCTGGAAGGCGTCATTTTAAAGTGCTATAAGGAAAATAATTGTAACACTGAAAAGGGCAGCATCCATTGTGTAAGTAAAATACATAAATAACTATGATAAATAAAGGTGTGTGATATTTTACCACCGCGTGGCTGAATACAATAAAATTAAAAGTAAATAATAATAAAAATAGCATGTTAATGTGTGATTGTGTTTTGTTACAGACCTCATCATTTGCCAACGCACCCATGTACCACACAAAGTACCTACAATTGTAAAAAAACATGAAAACATACAATATAACAGAACATGGACAATACGTAACGGCAACACAAAAGATTTTATTGCGCATTCTGAACACCAACAACCTGTTCGCGAAAAATATTTTGTATATCAGTCTCCCGGCGTACGCGGTGCGAGTGTTCGCCCTCAGCACGTCGAACAAAGATACGCCCGTCCCGGGTCCATACGAACCTCCACGAGGCAAGCCGGCATCGGTCTCGGACTTTTTGGAAGAGCTCCTGGTTTCGGCGCGTGAGCCGCTCATTGACGTAGAACGGGCGTGCTTCGCCTGCAAGCCCACAGTCGGCCGTGGTGGCCCCCCGGCGCACGCGCGCCGCCCGCAACAACTCGCTACGGGTCACCCGCCGAGCCAGACGCACTACTATGGGTCTTGGCCGACCGCCCTCGCGCCGCACACCCAGACGCTCAGCGCAGACGATGTCCCGCTCGTCCAGCTTCACACCGAGCTTGGTACCGATAGTCGCTACGATGTGCAACACACTTTCACCGGCTCCCTCAACGACGTTCGTAATCAGCACATCGTTGTCGAGACGCTCTTGGTCTCTGTTGTGCAACTCGAGCTGAAGATTGGCCACCGCTTCCTCCAACACCTTCACGGCGCTGTCGTTGACATTGGTAGCTATTCTTTCCTCGACGTTGTCCAGCCGGCGGTCGATGTCGTCCATCCTTGCGGTTATCGGCGGCAATGAGGCCCGAAGTTCGAGAAACTCGCCCCGGAACTCACGGATCTCTCTCCGGATCTCCTGCAACTCCTCTCGAAACAACCGGATTGCGACCTCGACAGACAACTGCTCCGAATCGCGTGCGGCGCCATCGCGGCTGATGATTTCGACGATGGAATCGTCGGCGGCGGGCGAGTGTTGTTTGGCCGGCAGCTGAGAGCCCATGCCGCGCACGGGGGTCTCGTCCCTGTTATCAGTGGGCAAGGAGCATCGGCAGTCCGGACAGCGCCAGGCAGGAGAGGCATTGGTTCCCGTTGGAACTCTCGCACAGATGTTGTGGTACCTGGCGTGGCACTGCACGCAGCCCACGACGTTAGTCTTCGATAGAAATTTGCCACAATCCTTGCACTTATTCATTTTTTGTGAATTATTAATATGGGTGACCGTTACGAGTGACTATAATTTAAAATTCAGTGTGTGTTATATTTTTATCGTGACTGGATTACCACTTGCCTGTGATTTTTCTAAAATATACGTAAGTACACTCGAACTTATTGCTTTTATTTAAAATACGCACTTAATACCCAGATAAACTATTTTAAAATAATTTAAAACAGAGAGTAGCTTAATGGCAGTACTAGCAGTATGGCGTCCGTGACGTCACTCCGTCAAAAAAGAAAACATTGTAGTAGTAGTATTAGTATTGTAGTAGTATTGTGAGCGTTACTGTGTTCTGATTTTGAAGGGTAAGTAAGGGTGCTGGTGTAATTACAGGCACATGGGAGCTGTCAACTTATGTCTCACGGTGACGGGGGCAGTGGCCCTCAAATATTTCCGATTTAAAACTCTGAGTGGCACTGCAACTGTTATGGACAGGCGTGTCGCTTACCATCAAAAAAATTTAAACCTACGGCCTCGACTTGAACCGTTAAATCACAAAAATGATAATTAGAATAAATCTTAAACCTGTAATCACAGTACAGAGTACTAAAGAAACCGACCTCAAGAGTGAATGGAATTACATCTGTTTGCTTAGTTTTATTGAAATCGGGTACCGGAAAGTGCACGAAACCGGATTCCTGCTCTAGTTTGCCATCCTTAGAGGTGGAATATTTTATTCAAGGATGTGTACCCTCTTTGCAACAAAAAAAGAATCATCAAAATCAGTACACAAAGTAGTTATCGCGTAACATACATACAAATAACACAGCGGAATTGAGATCATCCTCTTTTGAAGTCGGTTAAAAGTAGCCGTCAGTGAAATATTTTAAGAGTCACGTGTATAGCAAATGCATCGAATCACGTGCTCGGAAGTGTGACATTATTGAGACATTGATTGCAAAATTGAGATACTACGTATTTGTATGAGTGTTGTGTTGTACGGAGATATGGCACGTTTGGTTGAAAACGAGGGTTATTAAACAAATTAAAAATATATTAACAACTTGACTACGAATTACGAGAATAGTGACGAATGTAGCGGAAATTACTCACGCCCAACTTTGTTGCATCGTAATAAGTATATTTCGGAGGACAAATGGTGACAAACAAACATAACCAATTTAAAAACCGACCACAGAAGTTTTATTAAAATCGGTTAACGGAAAATGGTTCTATAAATTCGTGCCCTGATTTGCCACCCTTAGAGGAATAATAATTTAATTTTAAATTCACCATGAGCTTTTCGGTGATGGAAAACATCGACGAAGAGGGTTCACAATCCTCGGAAGACGTGAGAAGTCGTCAACCCGCATTGGGCCAGTGTAGCGGACTATGGCCTAAACCCTCGCTTGAGCAGATACCCGTGCCCAGCAGTGGAACGTATAATTGTTCGGGTTGTAAATTTTATTGCTCTGGATATATCATAAAGAGTGTGAAATGGAATTGCACGATTTAATTCCCTCCTTCCCCTTTCCATCATCAGGACACTAGATGTGGGCTGGGGTTGCACAACATAGTGAATTTTTTTACAAGTGACGGGACGAACAAGTCGTGCGCCTGGTGGTCAGCGACACGTCAGTCCATAACAGTTGCAGTGCCACTCAGAGCTTTAAATCACAAAGATCTGAGGGGCACTGCCACTGCACCCGTTACCTTGACGCATAACTTGACAAGTCTCATGTGCCTGTAATTTCACCAGCACCTTTACCTTTCAAAACCGGATCGCAGTAATGCTCACGTTACTTAGCGGCGGAAATAGACAGGGTGGCAGTACTTCTCAGGATGAACTCTTTCACAAGGAGCTCTACTGCTACTAGATTTGAGTAAGACAATGAAGTGAGTGGCACTGCAACTGTTATGGACAGGCGTGTCGCTTACAACTAGACAAACGACTTGTTCGTCCCGTCATTTAGTTTTATATATAAAAAAAACTCTACACCTGGAACACTAGTTCCAGGCACGGACTCTACCTGTGGTCTATTTGTTTGGTAGAACCTAGAAATTAAACCTTTAACTTGTTAGTTCTAGCGTTAAAATCGTGGCCACGAATCTATCCCGCGCATAATAATCTACCTAGTGTTATTTATACCTGTGTTGTAAAAGGGCGCGGGCCGTTTTTTTGCATCATAGAGATGCGAAGGAGTCGATAGTCAATAGCCCTTGATATATCGATAGTTTTCAGGACATTATTCTAACCTATAATTTGTTTTTTATAAATTTAGTTGGAAAATAAATTCATAAGTATGTTGCCACAAGGATTCGAAGCGTCAAACTCTCGATTGAGAATGCGATTGGATTTTTTTTTATATAGCTACCCATAATTATTTGTATTGTAAATAAACAAAATTAAACACAAAAAATTACTTTGCCGTTAAATCACTGATCAACGACGAATGTATACGAATGGCGATGCGTGGACTTGCGTGGTTGAAGAGCAATTAATAATAGTAAACCATTTCTGCTCTATGGTCTATTATTCATGGAAACCCCGGTTGTATAAAATTATAACTTTTTTTTTAAATAAAAAACTGATCTCTAGATTTCATGGAGTTCATCTATTTGCCAAGTTTTATTGAAATCGGTTAACGGAAAGCGGGTGAATTCTATTTAAACCAGATTCATCCCCTAAGTTGGCATTCTTAGAGGTGGAATATTTTCTTTAAATTTGAACGAGATCAGTACTGAGCTACCCCCTTTCCAATAAAAAAAGAATAATCGAAATCGGTTCACAAACGTCACAAACAAAAAATATAATCGAATTGAGAACCTCCTTTTTTAACTCGGTTAAAAATAAGTATAGTTTCTCTTTGCCCGGGCAAATATTAGACATACAAACATATCGAGGGCACATTCTACTCTTGTGTAGGCTTTTTTTTCATTCATCGATTCGTATTTTACCGTGTTTCTTTTAGTTTTGTGACCTCTCGATGGCGGATCGCCCTTGTCATGGCGTCTGAATACACAAAAAACAAAAACTGCTCAATTCAATCATCATCAGCTTACACGCATCCACTGTTGGACATAAGCTTCCCCTTCCCAGTCTTGTACAGCGCGCATTCAGCCGCTTTAGAACAAGTTTGCCCCATCGGCCATCAGCCCTCATACAGATATGTCCAGCCCACTGACACAGCAGTAAACTGATTTTGCAAGCTATGTCGGTTACTTTAATTCTCTGACGTAGTAATTCAATAAATTTCAATAAATTCATCTTCAATTCAAAATCTCATACATGTTTCATTAAATACAAATAGAACATAATTTTCTAGACTTCCAGCATCGTTATCGATTTCCTCTTCTGTTTATAATGTATCATATACCAGGTGATATCGTTTTGTGACGAAATGGTAAGTGTTTGGAATGGAATTTTATTTAGAATGTCTCATGTGACAGTTACGGATCTAGAAATAGCAGTAATCGCAAATCTTTTTTTACCAACTTTAAATAAAGGAAGAGAGTCTCAATTCGTCTGTAACGTATCATCCAGTTTAATGTTGCAGGTGCCGTTAAAACCGATTTATTAAAAAATTACGACAGTCTGATGATTCTTTATTAAAATACTTTGGATGCTAGCCATGTAATAGATGTTCTACGAAAAATTTTCCCGAGATTCTCTATAAACGCATACTATGCCATTATTTACGTATTGTTACAATCGTTTGGCAGGGGTTCGGCTCCTTGTGAAAATACAGTCATCATCATACCTGCCGCCAAGCAGTAATTTGAGCATTACTGCGTTCCGGTTTTGAAGGGTACGAGTGCTGATGAAACTATAGGCACATGGGACTCGTCAACTTTATGTCTAGGGTGGCGAGCGCATTGACAGTTCTCCTTTTTGCCAAATCTTTGCGAGTTAAAACTCCGTCATTTGATATCATAAATTAAGACCTTGATATAGTTGTTGATTCCATGTATTTTAGAATTAATAATAAGTTTATTTCCTTCACAAACAACTTAAACAATAATTAAACATTCTTATGTAAATAAAACGTTTGTTGTCTGCGAAGGCTGGAGACTAAACTAGGATACCCTGTGCTGTAGGTCTCCAGGCCTCCACCTACAGATAAAGTGTTCATAAAATATTGATTGTAACAAGAATGATTGATGTGAGGAATAAGTAAGTGGGATGAGTAGCTAATCGTATGCCATTGAACAGATCCAAATGCAAAGTCATTACTTACACCTGTAAGCGTTGCCCAAGACCAACAAACTATAAATTATTTGTGTGTAGATAGAGTTTTTGACATTTGTGACTTAGGAGTAACATTAGATAAGTTTGACTTTAACTGTAATACATATAGGGTCGTATTCCAGAATTCTACTCAATGCTCAAGTCAGGATTTGAGCCTTGAGCAGACTTGAGTATGCTAATGACAAGGACTTGAGTATAATTTTCAGTGCTCACTGCAATACTCAAGTCCTGACTTGAGCATTGAGTAGAGTTCTAGAATACGACCTATAGAGTTCTTAGGTTTATGCGATTGTTACACAGAGGAAATTGAACTATTTTTTTTTTATCTAAATCGCATGTTTCTTTTTTCAAATAAACTTACATTTCGGACCCTTTACAAGGTCTCAAGGTCACGGCTAACTCATCAGGCGTTTGTTTTAAAAAAAACAAACAACAATATACGCAATATAGATTTGAATAAAAAATACTTTAATTTCCAAAAATAATACATAGTTTTTCTTTACGCCACATGTTTTTTGTGAGTTTCCCTAAAATTTTACATTAGGTACTAAAAAGATCAGGTAATTCTTGTCAAAAATTAGTCCAGTCAAGTTAAGTCAAGTAATCATTTATTTCATAGGTAAAATAAATTTACTTGAAAATGTCTCTTTCAAGCTACTGCTCGTTCACTGTGCTGACTTCCCTGAGAAGAACGAGCAAGAGACTCTAGGAATAGGTCTTACAAACTTCAATGCTTTGGAATACACTTTGAATCAAATTTGTGTGTAATCTAGAACCATGTCATCTTTCATCTTTATCTAAGACGTAGTGGTTCAATTTTGTAATATGACTAAAAATATTTTTAATGTAGGTTTTAAACTTAGGAAATGATAATCTTAATAAAACGTATACAGTTCCCCATAAAACTACATTTTTCCATAGAAACTGTAAACACTGTAATGTTCATTTTAT